TCCGTACCCCCATTCCCCCTCCTCCTCCCCCCTCTCCCCCCCCCCCCCTCCTCCCCCCCCCCCCCTCCCCCCCTCCCCCCCACCCCCCCCTCCCACCACCCACGCCAACACACCACACACGCACGACACACACACGCTCACACACACAACACCCACGCACGCACGCACGCACGCACGCACGCACACACGCCACGCACGCACGCACGCACGCACCGCACGCTCGCACGCACTGCACGCACGCACGCACGCACGCACGCACGCACGCACGCACACACACAACAACACACACACACAACACACACACACACACACACAACACACACACACACACACACGCACGCACGCAACGCACGCACGCACGCCACGCACGCAAGCACGCACGCACGCCACGCACGCACGACACGCCGCGGCGCGCGCGCGCGCGCGCGCCGCCGCCCGCCGCCCGCCCCGCCCGGCTCCGCCCACGGAGAGACCGCACCGCACTGCACGCACGCACGCAAGCACGCACGCAGCACGCAACGAACGCACGCACGCACGCACACACTGACACCACACACAAACACCACACACACACAGCACACACACACAACACGCACGCACGCCAGCACGCACGCACGCACGCACGCACGCACGCCACGGCACGCACGCACGCACGCACGCACGCACGCAACGCACGCACGCACGCACGCACGCACGCACGCACGCACGCACGCACGCACGCACGCACGCACGCACGCACACACACACACACACACACACACACACACACACACACACACACACACACACACACACACACACAAACACGCACATACACAATTTGGCGTTTTCGCCCGCCTGGTACAGCGTTTCGTGGCCCCGTAGGGAGCGCCACCGAAGCCCCCGGTGTTACCGCCCGCACGCGTCCCACACACAAAATGTGGCATTTTCACTCACCCAGTACAGCGCCTCGCGGCCCAATAGGGAGCTCCACCGAAGCCCCCAGTGGGATCGCCCGCGTGCGTCCTACACACCAAATTTGGCATTTTCACGCACCCAAAGCAGCGCTTCGTGCATAGGGAGCTAGGGAGCTCCACCGTAGCCCCCAATGCTACCGCCCGCATGCGTCCCCCCCCCCCCCCCCCCCCCCTCCCGGTTGTCCACTTTTTCCCGGCAAACTGGGCTTTTTCCCGGCAAACTGGACTTTTCCCCGGCGCTCCGCCGGGAAAATCCCACTATCACCTTAAGGGTCTCCAACTCCCGCTGCGCAGATCCTAGCCGGGAAAGAGTCCAGTGGTTGACTTGTGTCGTGCGGCCTTCGCCGTAGCACTACTCCTCGCAGTGTTTGTAATAGTAGTAGTAGTAGTAGTAGTAGTAGTAGTAGTAGTAGTAGTAGTAGTAGTAGTAGTAGTAGTAGTAGTAGTAGTAGTAGTAGTAGTAGTAGTAGTAGTAGTAGTAGTAGTAGTAGTAGTAGTAGTAGTAGTAGTAGTAGTAGTAGTAGTAGTAGTAGTAGTAGTAGTAGTAGTAGTAGTAGTAGTAGTAGTAGTAGTAGTAGTAGTAGTAGTAGTAGTAGTAGTAGTAGTAGTAGTAGTAGTAGTAGTAGGGTTAGTGGATTAGTACTACTAGGAGTGATTGTATTAAGGATAGTGAGATTACGAATAGTAGTTGTAGTAGTGGAAAGATTAGTGGTAGTAAAAGCAGAAGTATTCGTAAGCGATGTCAAAAACCGTCCAGGTAGACGTACTACTGGTTATCCGCCACCGTGCCTCTGGGCACGGAGTGGGCGTTTCCTGAGGTCCTCTGCCTCGTCCCCTGAGCCTGAGTCCTCGCTCCTGAGGAATCATTAAGGGCACCAGAGCCCAAATTGCCAAATCTCCCGGGCCTTGTCGCGGTTCCCTTGGGCCTTGTCGCAGCTGCCTCGGGCCTTGTCGCAGCTCCCTCCTCCGCGTCTGCATCTCCAGGAGGTCCATCCCCCCTCTCCCGCCCTCCCCCCCGCCGTCTTGGAGCCCCACAATGGAGCTCCAAGAAGGCCCCGAGAGGTCTTCTCGGGGCCATCTTGGTGCCTCTTTGAGCGCTCCCAAGCCGTCCTGGAGCCCCCCCAGAGAGTTCGAAGAGGGCCCCGGGAGGTCTCCGGGTCACCCGGAGATGGTGCTGCATTGTCTCCGATTGACACGGAGACTTTTCGGGACTCTTTTGGGGTCTTCTCGGGGCCCTCGTTGGGGCCCCAGCAGGCCCCCACGAGGCCCCCGAAGGGCCTCCCCAAGGCGCCCTAAGAAGCCCCGACTTCAACATACCTCAAGAGGCGCCCAAGAGGCCCCTATCAGGGTCCAAGAACCCCCCAGCAGGCCCCCCAAAGGGCTCCCAAGAGGCTCGTCGATCGTCTCAGAAGTGTACGAATTCGCACAATGTTTGGATACATTGTGAACCCGGAGCCGCGTCTACATGCGAAGGCTCTCCGCGATCCTGATGGACAAAATCTCACAACGCGACTTCCAGTGGCCCCCTGGGTCCTCTCTTGGGGCCGTCCTGGGGGCCTCTTGGGCTGCATTGTGAGCCTCATGGGTCGTCTTGGGGCTCTCTTCGGGGGCCTCTTGGGTCGTCTTGGGGCGATCCTGGTGGCCTCTCGGGCCTTCTTGGAACGTTGGAACCCTGTTGCAGCGAGAAAGCTAAAATCCTTCAGAAACAATTGAGCAAGTGTGGTTTGGGCCTCTTGGAGCCCGCGGGGGGGTCCTCTTGGAGCCCCCTGGGGGCGTCTGCAGGGTCTCTTTGGCCGTCTTGCGGCCATTGTGAGCGCCTTCGAGCGCTCTGGGGCCGTCTCGGAGCCCTCTTGCAGCAGCAAAATCGCACTCGGAGCTCACGCGAAGTCTTTGGATACCTGAGGCTGGAGCCCTCCTGAAGGCCCTCCGAACTTCAAGCCGAGACCCGCAAGAGGAAACAGCTGTACAAAGAGCGGATACATGGTGACCCCCCCGCGAGGAAGGTAAAACAACGCCCTCTCTTGGAGCGTTCTTGGGTCTCTCTTGGGCCTGATTGGGGCTTTCCAAGAGGGTCTGGAATTAAACACAATCTGCGTTGAATTGTTGCCCTCTTGGAAACTTCGTAGGCCGTCAGAGGGCTCCAATAGGGCCCAGGAGGACTCCAAGAGGGCCTCACGATGGCTCCAAGAGGGCCCAACTTTTTAACACAACTTTAACACAAGACGCTCCCCAATAAGGAGGCGATGTGTGCTAAATGTGTGTTGAATGTTTGGCCCTCGAGGAGGCCTCGTAAGGGCCGTCAGAGGGCTCCCGCAGGGCCCCAAGAGGCTCAGGAGGGCCCCGCGAGGGCTTAAATATGGCTCCAAGAGGACCCGCAACTTCATACAGCACCAGCACCAGCACCACGGGCAGCACCAGCAACATCGACGCCAGCAAGAACAGCAACATCTGTAGCAGCAACAACGAGAGAGGCAGCAACGGAAATATGATTCTAAGATGGGCCTAACAGGGTTTTGAAAGGATCACTATATTACCCCTGCCGCTCCAAGACGCCCACCCCTGCTAAGCAATGGCCCCAATATGACCCCAGAGCGACCCTACGACCCCAAGAAAACACCGAAACGAACCCATTGTCTTCCGACTGAACTAAGGCTACCGCTTGACCCCGATGTTGCTCCGAGGTGGCCCTGGCCCCGGGACGACCCCATGAGCCCGAGACGACTTCGAGATTGCCCCAAGATGACTTCCGTAAACCCAAGTTGACCCCAAGCTTGGGTCAATATGGATCCGATGTGACTCCGATGCGTTTCTTCTTTCTCCCCTTGCTCTCGGCTGAGACCGATAGGACGGATGGGGGTGCTGGCCCTCCCCCTCGTTGTCGTTTTTTTCCTCCCCCTCGTCGTCGTCGCCCTCGTCGTCGTCGTCGTCGTCGTCGTCGTCGCTGTCCGCCTGGCCCCCGTGGCCCCATACATGGCAGAAAACCGAATCCCGAACGCAAATCGAATCCATCCATTCTCTGATCAAGAACCAGTAGAGAACCCATACTCTGTAAGAGTGACCAACCTGCCACTGCATACTTTGTTGAACAAGAAATACGCGCGAATTGTGAGGATGCGGCTGGCCACTGCCCTGCGCAAACACAACACACATCTGCTCAACATTGTACTTGAGTTCGCCCATTCGAGCCATCTCACGCCAATAGCCACCGTGAAATGCGACGAGCATTACGGTCGATTATTTGGTGGGAGCTCCCCAAGCGCCAACGAGAACGCAATGGGTTGGGCGCCCCATGGCAAGTTCGAGCCCAAAAGGGTACGATGCCTTGGGCCACCCGTGCTTAAGGAGGAGGAGGAGGAGGAGGAGGAGGAGGAGGAAGGCAGCAGATGGAGCGAGAGGAAGGAAAGAAGAAGAAGGAGGAGGAGGAGGACCAGAAGGATGAGAAGGTGGAGGGGAAGAAGGAACATGACGAGGAAGAGAAGGGAAAGGACGAGGAGGACGAGGGGGAGGGGGACGGCGATGGAGGATGAAGAACAGGAGGTGGAGGACAGAAAGGACGAGGACGAAGTTGATGATGATGATGAGGAGGAGGAGGAGGAGGAGGAGGAAGGATGAGGAGGAGGAGGAAGAAGGATGAGGAGGGGGGGAGGAGGAGGAGGAGGCGGAAGAGGAGGAGGAGGAGGAGGAATTTGCGGAGGAGGAGGAGGAGGAGCAATCCTTCTCCCCCATCTCTCCCCCCGGCGCCCTCCACCATCACCATTTCCTCTCTTTGTTTGTCCTGCTCTTCCCCCACCATCCTGCAACACTCCTCGTCCCCAGTCTCCCCTCCGCTTCACCCCATCCAATGCCCTTCATCATCTTTCTCTTCATCCCCTCTTATTATTTCCTCCTCGTTATCGTCACCGTCGTTGTCGTCCTCCACCTCCTCCTCCTCCTCCTCCTCCTCCACCTCCTCCTCCTCCTCCTCCTCCTCCTCCTCCCCCTCCTCCTCCTCCTCCTCCTCCTCCTCCTCCCCCCCTTCCTCCTCCTCCTCCTGATCCTCCTCAGGACGTGGTCTACCAGGTGCACGACCACGCGTTCAACATCTATTTGGTCATGGACGGCATTTTCGGCTACGTTGGAGAGGTTTATGTTCCTTCTTCTCTCCTCGTCCACCTCTTCATCCTCACCATCCGACGTCATTGTTCTTCGCATCTTTCGTCCATCTTCTCCCCCATCAGCCTTCTTATCCTGCTACTGCTCCCGATGTGATCTCGCGGGAGTGGGAAGGGAGAAGAGACTGGGCGGGGGGGGGACGGGGAATGAGGTGTAATGAATGAGGGAAGAGAGGAGGGAGAGACGGAGAGCAGGACGGGAGTGCAAGACTGGACGGGAGGTCGAGGTTTTCTTCCTCATCGTCCTCTTCCTCCTTCTCCTCCTCCTCCTGCCTCTCTGCCTCCTCCTCCTCCTCTTCCTCCTCCTCCTCCTGCTCCTCCTCCCCCTCCTCCGATCTCCCTCTTTCGATATCTACATATATATTTAGCTATTGTTCTAAATGTACGTATAAATACGTGTTTACCTTTGTTCTTATATATGCACATATGTCGATGTATTGGATGATATTTCGATATATCGCTCTAAATGTGTAACCTAACGTTATATATGTATCAGTCCATCTATCTACATCTATATATATATATATATATATATATATATATGTATACATGTATATGTCTAGACATATACATACATATATATATATATATATACACACATCTACCTAACTACCTAAACCAAACAATCAGAGTAGCCGGGGGGGGGGCCAGGCTTATGCCCGTGCCCCCCGTGGGCGCCCCCCCAGAGTTTCTTGGGGTGGTCCCAGAGCTCCCGAGACGGCCCGGGCCCGCCCCGAAACGGGCCACGACAGGCTAATGGGGGCCTAAGAGAGCCCAAAACGGTCCCAAGAGGCCCCGACGACGCCCAAGATGCCCTCAAGACGGCCGATGAGGACCCCAACACGCTCCAGGACGGGCTCAAGAGGCTCCCCAAGAGGGCCCTGGGAGGCAAAATCCATATATTTTCAGAAGGGTTTCTGGAGGATTTGGGCGTTCTCGCTTTTCCCTCCTCCCAACGCTCCCTCACGGCCTCGGAGGCCCTTCAGATCGCTCCAAGACGGCCCACGAGGCCCCGAAGAGGGCCCCAAGACAGCCCAGGAGGCTCCCCAGAACCCAAATGCGCCCCAAGAACGTCTCAAGAGGGGGCCCAAGGGGGGACCACGAACCGATATTTCGAGGTCTCTGGCCCTAGAGGCCCCCAGTAGGCCCCCGGAGGCCACCAAGAGGCTCCCAAGGAAGCCCGAGAGGCCCCCAAGGAAGCCCCAAGAGGCCCCCAAGGGGCCTCCAGGGAACGCCCAAGAGGCACCCCAACACACCCCAACAGATCATGTCCCCAGAAAGCCTTCCGGGGACACGGTTCATCACGGGCCCGAGTCTCCGGAGGCTCCGAAATACCATCACGCTACCGGAGAGCTGTCTGGGAAGTTGACTGGGAACATGACTGATCGCCTTCTCTGCCGACGTCTGCCGACGACGACGGCGGCGGCGGCGGCGACAAAGACGACGACGAACCTCGGACTTCGTCGTTCGAAACGGCTGTCTTTTCGCTTTCTGCCCTCGGGGGCCGCTCTCGGGCCCTGGGGTCGTCGGGCTTCGACCTGGAGTGGCAAACTGTGCTGGATGGTTCCTGGGAGGGGTCCATCCGGCGACGACGACGACGCGCCCCAAGAGGCGACGACGATATTACGACGACGACAACGACGACGACGACGACGACGACGACGACGACGGCGACGACGACGACGACGACGACGACGGCACGCCCCAAGAGGCTCCTCAAGACGCCCCCAAAAACCATGTTGACAGATGGCCTTCTGGGAACCCGATTCATCAGGCCTCCGCCCCCCTACGCAACGAGCTTCTCCGAAAGCCTTCTGGAATACGGATTGACATGCGTGGACTTCTCATTGCCCATAATGCGTTCAGCGTCATGGACACTTCTTCTTCTTCTTCTTCTTCCCGTTCAAACCATCTGTGGGCCACTACCTCAGTGTAGCTGTGAGCTCGTCAAGGCCTGGGGCCTGCTAGAACCTAAGCGCGCGAAGCGCAGGCGCGTGGGTCTAGTATGGTTTGCTCTGTAACACCAATGTGTGTATATATATGTATATATATATAATATAACATATATATATATATACTATATATAATATATGTATACAAGTGGCACGTGTGTGCCCAGGCTCATACAACAAGCTGAAGGGGCGTTTGAAGCAGGAGTGACATGCAACAGCGAAGTCGCACTCGAGCGCAAGTGGGGTTGCCACACCTTGCGATGTGTGTACCAGGGCCCCCCAGGAAGCCTCAGGAGGCCCGACTTGGATACCAGAGAGGCTCCAGGAGGCCCCAGGATTGTGAGTGTTGTGTGTGTGTGATGTGTGCTTTGTGTGGTGCGTGCTTTTTGCGTGTTGTCGTGTGTGTGTGTGTGTATGTTATGTTTGTCTAGCGTGTGATGTGTTGGGCGTGATTTGTGTCTCTGTGTGTGCATGTAGTTCTGAAGCCCCAAGGCCCCAGGAGGCCCCAGGAGGCCCCAGGCGGCCTCAGCAGGCCCAGGAGAACTCCAGGAGGCTCCGAGGCGGGGTCTGGGGTACCAGAAGGTCCAGAAAGCCCCAGGAGGCCCCAGGAGGTTCCAGGAGGCCCCCAGGAGGCTCCGAGGAGGGGTCTGGGGCTCGATTTTGGGAGGATGTCTCAGGCGAAACCGCCATTCTCTGAGAATCGGAGTCAAAATCATTGAAATTACCATGTGTTTTTGAAGGTTTTATGATAAAATGTTGGAAATCCTATGTGTTTTTGGACCCTGACGTCACGATCTGCGTGAGGGGTGCCACGGATTTTCAGAATTTCGAGGATGTCCCGAGCGAAACGGCCAGAAAAATCGCGAACGACGGACGCATTAATCGCCTCTGAGCTCTACTCCCTCGGAGAGGTGCGTATGAGAATATATATATATATATATACACACACACACACAACAAAACAACGGGGGACCGGGTCCGGGGGCCGGGGGCAGGGGGCAGGGGCCCCGACCGCAAACGTGGGGCCCGGGGCCCGGGGCCCGCCTCTTGGAGGCGGAAAATCGCCCCGAGGAGCCCTCAGACAGCGATCCCGACGGCCCCAGGCGGCCTCGAGACACCCCCAAGACGCCGTCCAGGGGCCTCCGGCGACGCACGAGGCGTCTGAAACTGCTCCAGAGGCCCCCCAGGACGCCCCAAGAAGTTTTTTAAGATGCCGCCCAAGAGCGCCCCGAAAGGGTTAAATCGTTGATTTTCATGTTTTTTTGGTTTTGTTTGCATTCTCGCTGTTTCGTGTTTCCGGCGCTAAAGCACCGCCCAAGAGGCTCCCAAAACCGCTCCAAGACGACCCAAGAGGCCCCCAAGAGGGCCCCAAGACGGTCCGAAAGAGCCCCGAGACGGCCTCAGAGCCGCCCAAGACGGCGCAAGAGGGTCCCAAGAAGGCCCAAGAGGGTCCCAAGAGAGGGACCGCGAACTGAAAAATCAAGCTCTCTGCCCCAGGATGCCCCCAAGAGGGCCCAAGATGCCCCCAGGAAGCCCCCAAGAGGCCCCAAGAGGCCCCAAGAGGCCCCCAAGAAGCTTAAAAGAGGCCCCAAGACGGCACCCACAAGGCTTCAAAACTCTTTCTAAGGGGCCCCCGAAGACATGCCAAGAAGGTCCCATGTCGACTTCAAGAAGCAGTCCAGGATGGTCCGAGGAGGCCCCAAGAAGCTAGCTAGAACTTGAGCGCGCGCGAAGCGCGCGATGGTTCTAGTATATTTATATACGTACACATACACACGACTATATGTGTGCACGCACATATATGTGTATATATATATATACACATATATATATACACACACGTATATCTCTATATATATATATATATATATATATATATACATAGAACCGGGCACAGAGTTTGGGGCCTTCTCTCAGGTGTTTCGGGTCGCAATGGGGGCTCTGGGCTCCCCGGACACCCTCTCACGCGGCCCAAGAGCCGCCCAGACAGACTTAAGTGGCGTCACAGAGACACCAGAAGGCTTCGAGGTGTTCCGCGGGGCTTCCAGGCAGTCCCAGATAGCTTCAAGACGGTCCAAGAGGACTCGACGAGCGCTCCTCTGAGGGCCCCAAGAGGCAAAAACCATTGATTTACCATAGGTTGTTCAATGTTTGGGGGATTCTCGATTTTCGAGCTTCCGACGCTCCACGACGTCCCAGAGGCCTCCAAGACCGCCCCAAGATGGCGCAAGAGACCCCCAAGACCGCCCCAAGACGGGCCAAGAGGGCCGCAAGACGGCCCCAAGAGGGGCCCAAGATGGCCCAAGAGCCCCAAGACGGCCCCAAGAGGGGCCCACGAGCAGGAGCCCGAAAGGACAATTCGAGCCTTCCGTCCCAAGATGCCCCCAGACGGCCCAAGAGAGTTCACCGAGCGTTCCCCAGAGGGCCCCAAGAGGCGAAAACCATGGATTTTCCGAGGTTCTTCAATGCTTTCGGGGCTCTCTACTTTTCCAGCTTCCAGCGCTCCACGACGTCCCAAGAGGCCCCCAAGACCCTCCCGAGACGGATCGCCAAGAGCCCCCCAAGAGCGCCCAAAGAAGGGTCCCGAGCGCAGGAGCCCGAAGCGATATTTTGAGTTTTCCGTCCACGATGCCCCCAGACGGCCCTAGAGGACTCGATGAGCGCTCCCTAGATGGCCACAAGAGACAACAACCTATGATTTGCCCTAGGTTTTCATGTGTTTGCAAAGGTCTCAACTTGTCGAGCTTCGGGCGCACCATTACGTCTTCAGAGGCCCCCAAGACCGGCACGGCTCCGCGACCGCCCACCGAACCTTAAGCTACCCCCCAGAAGGTCCAGCACCTCCACGCGCCAAGGGAGGCCCTTCATTGACAACGATTGCGCAGTCGTCTAGAACCTAAGCGCGCGTAGCGCGTAGCGCGCGCTCGCACGCATGTTTCTAGTATGTATATATGTGTATAGATGCATGTACTTCGATATATTTCATCACATATATACATATATATATATGTATATATATTTATACACGCACACCTCTATAGGTCTATGGGTATAAATTTGTGTATATGTATCTAGAAGTGTGTAAATGTGCATGTTCATGTGTATATGTGTATGTCTGTAAATACACATACAGTTATAGCAGAATATGTATACGTGTATGTGCATATATTTGTATGTATGTGTGTATATAAGTGTATGTATGTGTGTATGCGGATACATCGTTGCATGCATGTATGTGTATGTATGTGCATGTGTGCGTGCATGTCTGTGCATGTTTTCTGTACAGCCACATACATATATAGCTGTGTATGCGTGAGTATATATACGTATTTGTCTATATGCATATAGACATATGTAGATATCGTCGTTTGAACCCTCCTGTGTCGGAAAGAAAGAAAGGGAGGCGAGTCGCACTCTCCCTTCCAGCCTCCTTAGCAAGGAGGTTGGTGGAAGAAAGGGGGGAGGACGAGGAGGAGGAGGAGGGCGAGAAGGAGGAGGAATTCGAGAAGGAGGGCCTGATAATGAGGAGTAAAAGAATGAGCGGAAGGAGGAAGAAGCAGAAGAGTAAGTGGCTACGTGTTTCTTGGGTTGCTCGTTTGCAGCTCCTGCGCACTGCCTCAACGCGACGAAAGCTTGCTTCCCTAGTGTCAACATGCATTACAGCATGACGCTGACTGCAGAGGCTTCTCTTGTTTTCATGTGCTTAGTCCGTCGCCTCCCATGGTCGAAGGAGGTCGTGCCAGTGGAAGAGATGGAGAGCGGGAGTGCAGCGAGAGGGGGCCCGGAGTCGTGAGCGAGGTGGAAGAGTCCCGCTTCGACTTCGGGAAAGGCGCGTTCGTCACCCGCCAGACTACACCGCCACCGGCTCAGCTCTGAAAGAGGAGGCCGGAGAGGAAGGAGCAGCAGAGGCAGGGTGGTAAGAGTGGCGGGGGCGTGAGGGGGAAGGGAAGGAGGAGGCCGAGAGGAGGAGAGGGAGGAGGACGACGAGTACTACGGCGACAGGGAGGCGCAGCAGGTGAAGGATGAGGAGGAAGACGAAGACGAGGAGGCACATGAGCAGTGATTGACAGCCGGAAGAGCAAAGGGGGCATGAGGAGGAAGAGGGAACAGAGCAGGATGGGGAGGAGTGGAAGGATGAGGGGAAGAGGCATAGGATCTGTGCAGACCTGAAGTATGAATATATATATATATATATATACATATGCACAAATTTATCGGAGGTGAGGGGGTGAGATCGAAGTGGAAAGGAGAGCCCCCCTACTGGGAAATCGGTTTCGGTTTCGTGTTTGTGCGTGCCGTGCGTGCGGGCGAGGCGAAGCTGCGTGGGCGGGCGAGAAGAAAGTCTCCTCCGGCTGAGGCGCGGCCGGACCAAATGTTTCCTTTCCAGGGGCCGGTGCCGCGCGGTGTCCCGCCGGTGTCCCGCCTCTGGCTGAGGCGCAGCGGGACCAAATGTTTCCTTTCCGGGGGCCGCTGCCGCGCGGTGTCCCGCCGGTGTCCTGATGATGATGATGATGATGATGATGATGATGATGATGATGATGATGATGATGATGATGATGGTGATGGTGATGATGATGATGATGATGATGATGGTGATGGTGATGGTGATGGTGATGGGGATGGTGGTGATGATGATGGTGTCCCGATGATGATTAATTAACTGATGATGATGTTGCTGACGATGATGATGATGATGATGGTGTCCCGATGGTGATGATGATGTTAATGACCATGATGATGTTGATTATGATGATATGTTGAGGAGATGATGATGATGAAGAAGATGATGACGACGATGATGGTGTCCCGATGACGATGATGAGGAGGAGGTCGATGTCGATGATAATGCTGTTGATGATGATGGCGATGATGATGGTGTCCCGATGATGTTGATGATGATGACGATGATGATGCCCCGATGATGCTGATGATGCGGATGATGATGATTTTGATGATGGTGGCCCGATGATGGTGATGATGCTGCTGGTGTGGATGATGATGATGGTATCCCGATGATGATGCTGATGATCATGATGGTGACGATGATGATGGTTTTCCGATGATGGCGATGTTAATGATGATGATGATGATGTTGCTGATGATGATGGTGTCCCGATGGTGATGATGATGTTGATGAGGTTGTTCATGATGATGATGCTGTGATGTTGATGGATGTGTTCCGATGATGACGATGCTGTCCCCATGATGACGATGTTGATGATGATGGTTGTGACGATGCTAACATCCCGATGATGATGGTCATGGTGCTGATGATGATGATGATGATGTTGATGATGATGATGATGATGATGATGATGATGATGATGAGGAGGATGAGGTGATGGTGATGATGGTGTCCCAATGATGGTGGTGATTTTGATGACGTTGATGACGATGCTGTTGATGATGATGATGATGACGTCGAATGTGACATCGATTGTGATATCGATAGTGGGATCGATCGTGAGACCGATTTTGAGATCGATTGTGAGATCCATAGTGAGATCGATCGTGAGATCGATTGTGAGGTCGGTAGTCAGATCGATTGTGAGATCGATCGAATGAAATAGACCGAGTGAGATCGATTGTGAGATCGATCGAGTGAGATCGATCGAGCGAGTCCGATAGTGAGATCGATCTTGAGATCGATAGTGAGACCGATCGAATGAGACGTTGGTTCCTCCCCCCCGAACCTCCTTATCACCCGAAGGGTGGTCGTATAGGTACATATACACATATATGCCGCTCTTTGAAATTAATTGTGCCTCGCCGTGTTTGAGCACGACCGTATCTATACATGTGCTCAAGTTTTTCGGCCTGAGTCGCGTCCGCGCATGGCCGCTCCCCGTGGATTTGCTCGGCATCGGCGCGCGCCTCGCCGAGCTCTGGCTGATCCGTGGGCCCGCCTGCCCGGCCTGCCCGCCGCGCCCGTCCCAGACTTGTGCGGTGACGTGCTGCGGGCCGGCAACGCGCCTGGGCGGTGGTCGGGGTGGGGTGGCTGGCCTTGGCGCTGGCCGCGGCGGCGGGGGCGGCACTGTCGTGGGCTGCCGGTCGCAGGCCGCCGCAGGAGGCGAAGGACGACTGCGCCCCGCACCCTCTGCCTCTGGCGGCGAGCGCCCCGCCCGTCCTCACGGGGCTGGTGACGCCCAGCCAGCGGGCCCGGCGGGCCTGGGCGCGCGATGGCGCGCTCCACCCTCGACCTGCCGGAGCCGCGGGTCTCGGTGGGCTACCCCGACGACGCGGCGGGGCTCAGGTGGCACCACAGGCTGCTGCTCATCCAGACCCCAGACGCTGGCGTGTGGATTGCCAGCACTTCCGACTACTCGGTCCAGCGGCTGGGCCTCAGCACCCACCGCGTTGTGGCGCTCGGCCGGGACAGCCCCTTCCCCGCCGCCCAGAGCGGAGGTGCTGCAGAAAAATGCCCTCACGAAAGCGAGGACAACTTCGAAGAAGTGCTCCCCGCCCACTACATTGCCATGACAAAGTATTATACGGTCTTCGTTCAGCGTGGCCCACGACCGGCGGAGTAGGCGGAGTGGGCGGAGTAAAAAAAATACTCCGCGCGGACACGCATCCCGTCCAAGTTTCTATACAGGATTGGGCGGAGTATTTTTTTCGATCCTGTTTTGAGAGAACAGAGTTATTAACGAAAGGGAGACAACTTATTCCGCGGGACCGCGGATGCCGCGAGGCCATGTTAGGAGTCTTCAGAGGGAAAGGAGATTCCAATATTTTACAAGCCCGCATCATCTTTTGTCACGGCTGTGTATCTCGTCGTCCTCGTCGTCCTCGTCCTAGATCGACGCCTTCGCTGGTCGACGAGGACGACAAGGACGACGAGGACGACCAGGACGAGGACGAGGTCGACGAGGGCGACGAGGGCGACCAGGTAGTGGTCGGGAACGCGAATTCATGGCATGGCCCGCTGCTGCCGCTGGCGCTGGAGGCAGGCGGCCTCCATGGCAAAGGCGGCGCTCCAGCACCTCCGCTGGCTGGCGAGAGGCCCGGCGCAGCGCCTCGGGGCCGGCCCCGCGGCGGAGGCGCGCCGTCGGCGGGGGGGGGGGGGGGGGGGGGGGGGGGGGGAGGACGGCTGCGTCCAACTGGACATCGAGCCGATAGCGATAGCGATAGCGATAGCCGTCGGTGGGGCGCCGAGCTGAGTGTGCCGCTCCATGGCGACGCTTCTCGGCAGTTGCACAGCGCTGTGTGCGGCGACGACGGTGCGGAGACCGCGGTCTGGCTCGCCGCGGAGCTGGCGGGGTGAGCTCGACTAGACGTACGAGTGGCCTCTCCGCTGGGGTGACCTTCGGTGCGGGCGCATTGGGGTCCCCCGATCGCCAGACCCGATGCGATAGCAGCGTCTGGCGCTCTTGTGTTTGGCCCCCCCCGCGGCCCCTCGAAAGCCGCGCACCAAAGGTCACTCTAACCCAGGGTCACTCTTGCGTGTGGCCGATGAGCGGCCGCGGAGTAGCGCCAGCTGGAGCCGCAGCTGTTCCACACTGCCGTTGCGTGCAGTGGGCGGCCCGGGCGGCGATATACTCTCGCTTCGCTGCGCCTGGAGAGGAGTTGCAGCTCATCGCTGCTTCTCCTCCTCCTCCTCCTCCTCCTCCTCCTCCTTCTCCTCCTCCTCCCCTTTTTATTATTCCTTTTTCTTGAAAATAACTCCCCTGTCGCACCTGGAGGGCGGCTCGGGCGTTTCGCTTGAGACCTCCCTACCAGTTCTGATCTGAAGTTCAAGACCCGGCATCAGTTTCACAAATGGAGGGCAGGTGATTTTCAAAATGTGGCTCTCGCCATAACGCTGCGCGCGCTCATTTTGGAATTTGCGTGCGTTTCCCGACTTGAGGGCGGGTCGTTTTCAAAATGCGGTGATCGCCTGAGCGCTGCGCCCATATGTTTCGAGCGTTTGCACGGGCTTCCCGGATTGATGGCGGTTCGTTTTCAAATTGCGGTTCTCGCCTTGGCGCCGCGCACATTTGTCTGAACAACTTGCAAGAGCTTCACGAATTGAGGGCGGGTCGTTCTCAAAATGTGGTTCTCGCGTCAGCGCCGCGCACATTCGATCTGAATTGTTGCAAGACTTTTGCGGTTCCGTTTGAATGTGTGGTTCTCGCCCTGGCGCCGCGCACATTCGTTTTCAATAGCTGCAAAAGTTTCATTGGATCTCATGGTTAAGATACCAGGAATGGTGTTTGGAAGCGATTCAGGTACGTCAGGGCGTAACAGTTTCGTTGATTCGCGGTGTTGAAGTCTCGGGGACAGTGTTCTGGCACGACTCAGGATCCTCAATACATAACAGTCAGGTTGATTCGTGGCGTGGAAATCTCGACATTGGTGTTCTGGCTTGCTTCAGGATTCTTGAACGGTTGTCTCCCAACGGGGCACTTCACCCAGTGAAAAGGAATCCTTGCAGGGGTCTACGCAGAGGGAGCTTGGAGGGTTCATTCAAATATCGTTGATCAGGATGAAAAGAAACACACAGACACAATTAATCCTCGATTCCCCAGAAAATATGGGAAACTATGGGAAGTGGGCGGGAAGACAGAAACCCAGAAAATATGAAAGATGGGGATGTTCAATTGTGTGTATTTATTTGTGTGTCCTTGGGCCCCTTCAGTTGATGAGTCTTGGGTGCGCACTGATCCCGTACCCTCTTCATTATTATCCCTAAACGCGTTCGTTCTGCTGGGAGGAAGTTGCAGGTCAGCCCGCGAAAAGGGCAGCTTCGCCCCCTGGGAGACGAGCTAACGCTGGCGCCCTGTGTGCTTCACGACTGCCATGCCTGAGATGGTGTGGAGCGTGGTTGGGTTTCGCGGAAGAGTCGAAAGGATGGAAGAATAAGCAGCAGCAACACCAGACAAGCGCAAGCAGGAGTAGGATCATGAGAAACAGCAGCAGTGGGAGGCTGAAGGTTGGCTTGGAGCACGTGGGGGGGGGGGGAGGAGCAAGCGAGCAATGGAGCAAGAGGATGAAGGTGGGTGGGAGCAGCAGGAACAAATGGAAACAGGTGAGAAGAACGAGGACGACGAGCACGATAGGAGTATGCTTGATCGGCGAACTAGCAGAGGTGCAAACACTGGTTGATCAGGCAGCAGATTCGATGAGCTCTGTCTGTAGCCGCACTACAAACGAGGGCGCGGCTCGTGGGCTTCTCGGCCAACAGGATGATGATGATGAAGCGGCAGAGAACAAGTACGAGGAAGAGGAGGAAGAGGAAGAGGAAATGGACAAGGCAGCAGCAGCCGCAGCAGCATCCTCATCATCAACGCGCGTCGTCAGCGGAGGACGATGCGACGCCGAGTGCCAATGTGGCGACGCTGGTGACAGGGAGCAGCGCTGGCAGCCTCGGCGGCAACCGCACCGGATGTGGTGCGGCTGGGGCCCTGAAGAAGGAACCCTTTTTGTTGGGGAGGGGCTCCGTGTTCCCCAGCTGCTTTGCAGTATTCCCTGGGTTTTCCTGAGGTTTTCCATGGAACATCGGAGTTTAATGTATTGGGAAAAAGGGGCCTCGTTCATCAAGTATCGTTCCTTGGGTCAACTCCCCGACTGTATGACCCGCTCTTGTTATTGATCTCCGTCCACATCGGGAGCGCCCGTCCATCCTCACTCCAGAACCAGTGGAGCTGCTAAGGAAGAACATCACCTTGACGACGCACCTGGCCACGGTGGGCAAGAGGACCTTGGAGAGGGGGCCAGGTCATTGCAGAATGGAGGGGAGGTCAGGAGGAGGAGGTGGACGAGGAGGAGGGAGGAAGAGGAAACAGGAAGGAGGAGGGAGGAAGGGAGAGAAGGGAGGGTTGAGGGGGGAGGGAGGGGCGATGACGGATAAGAGACGGTAGCTTTCTCATCCTCATCCGCGCTTTCTCTCCATCCGCATCCTCATCCTTGTCCTATTTCCCCTCTTGGACGTGGACTTAGGCCATGAAGGAGCAGTCGCGCGAGAACGACAGACACTCGACAGGGGAGAGGGATGTGCAGCGAGGAGAGAGCAGAGAGGGAAGGAAGGGAACACTGCCTCCTCGCGTCCTGCCCCAGCCACGACGGCCAGCACCGACCCTTGGCTGCCGCAGTCCAGGGCCCGACGAGGCGCGGCCTGCGCAGGAGGTGGCAGGCGGGTGGAGAGGGGGATCCGCCTCTCTTCTTCTGCCGCCGCCACAGTCGGCGGCGAGCGAGGGGGGGGAAGTGAGAAGGAGAGGGCTCTCTCAGAAGGCGGCGGGACTTCTCAGGAGCCCTCGCGCCTCCTGGGATGTTCTTCTTTTTTTTTTTTCTCTCTCTCTCTCTCTCTCCAGGGAAGGCTCGTGACGCTTCTCCGAGGGCCGGCGGGCCTCCGAACCCCCTGAGGGGGCCTTCTCCTCCTCGCCTCCCCCCCCAGACCCCCGACGTCGTGATTGTTCCACGACGTCGACCCCCAGAGGTCTGGACCCTTTCCCTGGGGCGGGTTTTGCATCCCGAGTCGTTTTTGTTGACGGCCCCGAGGCCCGGCGAGGACCTCCAGAGGCCGAAAATTGCGAAAAACCTCCCGTCGTGACTTTTTCACGACGCGAGGAGGTCGCGGCCCCCCGCTCGCCGCCGACACGGGGCTGGCCACGTGCCCGGCTCGGAGGGGGGAAGCTGCCGCCCTCCGCGCCGGCCTGGCCTTTCTGCTCCTCCTCGCCTCCCCCCCCTCGCTCGCCGCCGACACGGGGCTGGCCACGCGCCCAGCTCGGAGGGGGGAGAGGGAGGGAGGGACGGAGGGAGGGAGGGAGGGAGGGAGGGAGGGAGGGAGGCTGCCGCCCTCCGGGCCGGCCTGGCCGTTCTGGAGCGGAGGCCGGGTGGCCTCGCCTCGGCCCCGGCCGCGAGCTCGGGAGCACGGAGGCGCGGGAGGAGAGAGAGAGGGGAAGGAGAGGGCGAGGGAGGGGAAGAGGGAGGGGAAGGGGAGGACAAGAGAGAGGGGGGGGGAAGGAGAGGGAGGGGAAGAGGGAGGGGAAGGAGAGGGCGAGAGAGGGAAGATCAAACGACGCGAAGATCGGGACAAAATCGGATCGGGACAACTCGAAATCTCTGAGAATCGGCGGGTTTGGAGGACGTATTGGGCGCCGCGGCCGCTCCAGAGCGTTCCGGAACGCTCTGGGAGCGCTCCGGAACGCTCTGGAGCGAGTTATCCCGATCCCAGCCCTGTGTTAAAGGAGAGGGCGAGAGAGGGAAGAGGTCGCCTCAGCGCTGGCCACATTCCTAGGTTCGGAGCGGCGCTCTCGCATCGGCGGCGGCCGCGTTCTCGGCTCGGAAGGGTGCGCTCGCCCCGGCACTGGCCAGGGGCCAAGCTCAAGGTGGAGCTCTCGCCTTGCCGCGGGCCCATCGCTTGAAGACATGCCAGAGAATGACATCGACGTCGATACAGGAGTACACTCCAGGCGATGCTTAAGAAAACCCAAGTTTTCGGCCAGAGTCTCGATTATTCTTAACGTTTCAGTGTAAATCCCAAGATTTTGACAGAAATTCTGGGTTTTTATTCAAATTCTGAGACTATGAATTTCTTAACCCATGATTTCTTAAGCATTTCGCAGGGTGTAGAGGCAGAGGCGGGAAGGGCACAGAGAGGCAGTGGCAACAGCACGTGGTACACAGACTCTTGCCGCGACCACCTCACGTTGCACACTTGCTGAGGCCAACCTGGGTGTGTGTGCTTCTCCTCCGCCTCCGCCTCCTCCTGAGCCCAGCCGCTGCACGGGCCCTCGTTCCAGTGCTGAAGACGGACGCAGTCAGAGGCCCACGCACGAATAGAGGCAGGGACAGAACTGCAGACCGATCCAGGGACGCAGGCTTGTTATCCAGCTGCCCCTGGCAATGCCACCTGACAGTCAGCTTTTGCCACGGTGGCCCCTCGGCGCAGTACGAGCATCCCCGGCAAGCAGTTGCGGGTGCGACCGAGCACCGTCATGAACCCGCCGGACGACCGGAGAGCCTACAGCAGTCGCGAGGGCCACACTGCCGCGATCTCAGCCGTCACCACATTGTTCCGTCCCCATCGTCCTCCTCCTCGTCCATCTTTTCTTCCTGTTCATCCTCTTCTCCGTCCTCCTCTCTATCCTTGTCCTGCTACAACTCGCCGTTTACTCAATTTCCGACTCGTCCTCCTATTCACATTCATAGTCACCCATGGCAGCCTATATCACCATGTTCTGTGCCCTAGTATTCCAGATATCCCCCATCATGGTCTCGTACCACATATATATATATATATATATTCCTATTTATATCGGAGGTTGGGGGGTGAGATCGAAGTGGAACGGAGAGCCCCCCTACCGGGAAATCGATTTCGGTTTCGTGTTCGTGCGTGCCGTGCGGGCGAGGCGAAGCTGCGTGGGCGGGCGAAAGGAAAGCTCCTGTGGCTGAGGCGCGGCCGGACCAAATGATTCTCCGCTGGGCGGCCGGTGGCGCGCGGTGTCCCGCCGGTGTCCCGCCGGTGTCCCGTGTGGCTGAGGCGCAGCCGGACCAAATGTCTCCCTTCCGGGCGGCCGGTGGCCCGCAGTGTCCCGCCAGTGTCCCGCCGGTGTCCCGCGGTGTCCCGCGGTGCCCCGCGGTGTCCCGCCGGTGTCCCGCGGTGTCCCGCGATGATGATGATGATGATGATGATGATGATGATGATGATGATGATGATGATGATGATGATGATGATGATGATGGTGATGATGATGATGATGATGATGATGATGATGATGATGATGATGATGATGATGATGGATGATTGCTGCTGATGATGATGATGACGATGATGATGATGGTGATGCTGATGGTGATGATGATGACGATGATCATGATGATGATGATGATGATATGATGATGATGGTGTCCCGATGATGATGATGATGATGATGATGATGATGATGATGATGATGATGATGTCGATGATGATGATGATGACGATGATGATGATGATGATGATGCTGATGGTGTCCCGATGATGAGGATGATGATGATCATGATGATTATGTTGATTGATCATGATGATGACGATGATGGTGTCCCGATGATGATGAGTATGATGATGTTGATGTTGATGATGCTGATTATGATTGTGTCCCGATGATGATGATGTTGATGATGATGAGGTTGATGATGATTATGGCGTCCCGATGATGATGATTTTTCTAATGGTGATGATGATGATGTTGATGATGATGGCGTCCCGATGGTGATGATGATGATGATGTTGATGCTGATGTTGGTAATGATGATGAGGGTGCCCCGATGATGACGATGATGATGATGCTGATGGTGATCTTGATGATGCTGATGATGATGTCGATGATGAGGATGAGATATGATGATGGCGTCCCGATGATGATGATGATGATGATGATGATGATGATGATGATGATAACGATGGTGATCATGATGGTGCCCTGATGATGATACTGCTGCTGATGATGATGACGATGACTGTGTCCCGATGCTGCTGATGATGATGTTGATGATGATGATTGTGATGATGATGGTGGTGTCCCGATGATGTTGATGACCGTGATGATGATGATGATGATGATGATGATGATGATGATGATGATGATGTTGGTGTTGATGATGAGGACGGTGTCCCGATTATGATGATGTTGATGCTGATGTTGATGATGATGATGATGATGATGCTGATGATGATGATGATGATGACGTTGATTGTGATAGCGGTTGTGATATCGATAGTGAGATCGATAGTGAGACCGAATGTGATATCGATTGTGAGATCTATTGTGAGATCGATAGTCAGATCAATTGTGAGATAGATCGAGTGAGATCGATTGTGAGATCGATCGAGGGAGATCGATCGAGCGAGACCGATACTGAGATCGATAGTGAGATCGATAGTGAGACCGATCGAGTGAGACGTTGGTTCTTATCACCCGGGGTGGTCGTATAGGTATTTTTACAGGGCCGGGGACCCCGGAAAAGCGGCACACGGTGCCCCCCCCCCCCCCAAACGAATTTCGGCCTCCCCGAGCCTCTGGGGCGCTCCTGCAGAGTGCTTCCGTGGATCTCCGGTCCTCCTGGACCCCCCAAGCAGGTCTGTCCTGCGAGTCCGACGCGAAAAAGGAAGCCCCCACGACGGCCAAAGAGGGCCCCGAGACACCCAAAGATCGGCCCAAGACGCCCAATATGGGCCCAAGACTGCCCAAGAGGCCTCCAAGACGCCCCAAGAGACCCCCAAGAGGCCTCCTAAGAGAGCCCCGAGAGGCTAAAATGGTTGAGTTTCCTGTGTGTTTTTCGATGTTTTTGGCCTTCTCGTTTTTTCCGCTTCCCCACGCTCCAACACGGCCCAAGAGGCTCCCTAGATCGCCCCAGTACTGCCCAAGAGGCCCCCAAGAAGGCCCCAACACGGTCCAGGAGGGCTCCAAGACCGCCCAAGAGGCGCCCAAGGCGGCCCAAGAGAGCACCAAGACGGCTCCAAGAGAGGCCCAAGAGGGCGCCCAAAAATTCAAAACTTAAGTTTTCCGCCGCGAGCGGGCCCCGAGAGGCCCCAAGAGGGCCCCATGACCCATGAGGCCCCAAGAGGCTCCCCAGAGGCCCCAAGGAGCCCCCAAGAGGCCCCCAAAAGATCCCAAGAGGCCCACAAACAGCCCCCAAGAGGCTTCAAAACTGCCTCCCAGAGGCCCCCGAGAGGCGTACCACGAGATCCCAACAAAGCGGTCTCCCCCTCTCATTATCCCTTCTCTTTGTCGTCGCCTTCTTCGTCGTCGTCGTTGTCGTCGTCCCCATACTCTTACTCGTCTTCATCCTCCTCCTCCTCCTTCTCCTCATCCTCTTGAGCTCTTCCGGTTCAGCTCAATCGGCACAGGACTGAGGAGGAGAAACAGGAGGAGGAGCAGGAGGCAGGGGGGAAAAGAAACGGGCACAGAAGAATACGAGGACAAATAGAACGAGGAGCAGATAAAGGAGCGCGGAGGAGAAGTACGATTACCACCCAGGTAGCAAACGAAACAAGGGGAAAAGGATGAGGAAGAAGCAGTAATCGAACCCGCTTCGCAACTCCGACTGCGGAAGTGCATTGCTCCATAGTGTTCCCGCTTTCTTCGCCTGAGACATTCTTGCAGACCTGCCGAGATGCGCATGTGCATGCGCGCCCAGGGTTGCGCAAACGATTTGCGTATACGTGTACATAACCTTGCACGCGTACATTCATATTCACAAATGCAGCGTGTACGTATGGGCGCAGATGCGCGCGCATTTACGCACGCACGCACTCCGCTAGCTTGCGAAACTCAAGGACCGAGGCGCATGGCGCGCAGCGCCAATGCAGTCTTGTGTGTATATATATATATATATGTGTGTATATATATAGGTATGTATGTTTTACTGGTCGTTATCGATGACGACCTGCACTGCCCGTCTGTGATCATATGTGCTTCAAGTGCCGAAGGCCCGCCTCCAGCGTGCATGGACGCCCTGTGGGGCTCGGCGCCCGGCCGAGGCCGTGGCGCTGCGCTGCCCAGCCTGTCCGTCCTGCCCCGACTGCATTTGCCCTGCTGTGAGCTGCTCGCTCACGTGCGCGGGCCCCGCCGGCGCCAGCCAGCCCTCGGCGCACGAGCGGGGCTGGGCGGCGCTCCCGGCGGCCATCCTGAGCGGCATCGTGCTGCTCCGCTGCCGGGACGTGGCGCGCGGCCTCGCGGCGCAGAGAGGGCGAGCGGTTACACCGCGCGCGGCGGTGCAGTCGCCAGAGGCGCCAGCCCCCGCGGTGAGGGCGGTGGCTCAGGTGGCGCAGCAGCCTGCCAGCAACTACCTGCCGACGGGCACGGTCGCGACCCCATCAAGTCTTCGACTTCGGTGCTGGTGAATGTCCCGAATGATGTTGACGGCTTCTACTGTTACGTGCGGGTCCTGCTGGTGAAGGTTGGTGGAGTTGGAATGTGGGTACGGTGACATTGACCCTCGAGCTCTTCACGCATGACCTGAGCACGGTGAGGCACATCGCGTTGGCGCGCAATGCGCCATGTCCTGCTCGAGTCAACCGCGGCGATTCTTCGGTTTCGATTTCATCACGCATGTGGAGCTGAACCAGTACATCCAGCCAGCTAGGGTGCAGGCTCATGTGCTGGCGGATGGCGACGGAGAGGCTGAGGTCTCCGAGATGGCGAGGGTACGCGCGGGACCTGGCTTCGACAGGCTGGGCGAGCCCATCCTTCAGAAGTCGTCGATGGCCAGGGGCGCTTCACGAAGATCTGCGACTCGGCGGTGGCAGAGGTCCACGGCGCGGTCGTTTGGGCTGCTCGCGTCAATGTCGCGTCAATGCTAACGATCGAGAAGCCTGGCTTCAGCAGCGCCAGGCTGCGTCGAAAGACGACCGTATCATCGGAGTGCACCACCGCAATGGCAATATATATATATATATATATACATGATGCTGAAGGCCCTCGCCCTCCACACGCAAGTGAAGCACGACGACTCGGGTTTCCCTGGCCCGAGGCTGGCCGCGGGCTTCGAGGTGTACGAGAGGAACTGGCAGAACGACTTGGGGGTCTACGCGGGTTCCACGGCGCCCCACCAGCACAGGTCCGGCACAGAGACGATGAGGCTGCTGATCGAGGTTGGCCAGGTGGACGCGTCCAACCTCCAGGGCGTAGAGAGCCTCGATCGGCGCCAGGTGCAGCTCGAGATGGCCGCGGACCGCGACCCCGCCCACCAGGACTTCATGGGCCTCGAGGAGGTGATGGGCGGAGCACACCGCTTCTGGCGCGACCAGCGTCGCCAGCTTCTGCGAGTGGGCTGCTGGTCGCTAGAAGGGCAGGGCGCAAGTGATCAAGCAGGCGAGGTTCGAGCGCGAGGAGCGAGCGCTCTCTCATCGACCCCGGCGCGATGCGACAGCCGAGGGCCGAGGTCGAGCTGAAGAAGAAGCTGAAGGGAGGCGTGGGCGACAAGGGAGGCGGCGCGCTGCCTCCCAGGAGGGATGACGCACTTGCCACGGGAGCGTGGCCTTTGCGATGCTGCCCAGCGCCGC